GGAAGGACACTACCTCAACATAGTAGAGACCATATATGAAAAACACACAGTCAACATCATACCCAATGGTAAAAGAATGAAAGCTTTCCTCTAAGATCAGGAATAAGACAAGGACGCCTGCTTTTGCCAATTTATTCAAGATAAAAATAGAAATCCTGGTCAGATCAATTAGACAACAAAAAGAAATAAAAGGCATGACATGCTCTTATATGTAGAAAACTCTAAAGATTCCATACACAAAACAGTCGTAGAAGTAAGAAATGAATTCAACCAAGTTTCAGGATACAGAATCAGCACACAAAAATTAGTTGCTTTTCTATCCAATAACAAGGAACCATCTGAAAAGGAAATTAAGAAAATGATTCCATTTACAATAGCATCAAAAAAATATTTAGGCATAAACTTAACTAATGGAGGGGAGACCTTCACACCAAAGACTACAAAACATTGTTGAAAGAAATTGAAGATGACACAAATAAATGGAGAGACACCCCGTGTTCATGGCCTGGAAAACTTAATACTGTTAAGATTGAAGTATTGAAAAGATTCAATGCAGTACCTATCAAAATCCCAATGACACATTTTCTCAAAGAAATAGAAAATTCCATCCTAAAATTCATATGGAATCTCAAGGGAATCTGAATAGCCAAAACAATTTTGAAAACTAAGAACAATTTTGGAGGTCTCACACTTCTTGATTTAAAAACTAACTACAAATCCATGGTAATCAAAACAGTGTGGTACTAGTATAAAAATAGACATATAGATCAATGGAATAAAATAGCCCAGATATAAATCCTCACATATATGGTCAAGTGATATTTAACAAGGGTGCCAAGACCTTTAAATGGGGAAAGGACACTCTTTTCAAAAAATAGTGTTGGGAAAACTAGATATCCATATGCAAATGAATGAAGTTGATGGTCTGGCCCTGTGGCGTACTACTTAAGTCCAGCACGCTCCAATTCAGTGGGCCAGTTTCATGTGTTTGGATCCTGGACATGGACCTATACCACTTGTCAGCCATGCTGTCCTGGTGACCCACATACAAAATAGAGGAGGATTGGCAGACATGTTAGCTCAGGGCGAATCTGCCTCAACATCAAGAACAAAAAATTGAAGTTGACCCTTACTTTACACCATATATGTACAAAAGTTAGTTCAAAATACATCAAAGACCCAAATTTAAGAGATAAATTATAAAAGTCATAGAAAAAAACATAGATTGAAATTTTCATGACATTAAATTTGGCAATGATTTCTTGGATATGACACAAAAAGCAAAGCATGGGCAACAACAACAAAAAATAGATAAGTTGGACTTTATCAAAATTAAAAACTTTTGTTCATAAAAGGAGACTATCAACAGAGTGAAAAGGCAATCCATGGAATGGAGAAAATATTTGCAAATCAGTTATCTGATAAGGGATTGATATCCAGAATATATAAAGAACTCCACAACAAAGAAACAAAAAACTTCTTCCAACAATGGGCAAAATACTTGAATAGACATTTCTCCGATAAGATATACAAATCGGCAATAATCAGGTGAAAAGAGGCTCAGCGTCGCTAGTCATTAGGAAACTGAAAATCAAAACCACAATGAGATACCACTTCATACCCACTTAGAAGTCTATTTTCAAAAAAACAGACACTACGAAGTTTGGCAAGGAGGTGGAGAAATTGGAGCCTTGTGTGGTGTTGGTGGGAATGTAACATAGTGCCACCGCTGCGGAAACCAGTATGGTGATTTCTTTAAAAATTATAGTACTGGAGTCTTTGGCCAGAGCAATTAGGCAAGAAACAGGAATAAAAGATATCCAAATGGAAAGGAAGATCTAGTATTTTATGTTTTGTCTTCATTTTTAACCTAATACATTAGATATTGTTGTTCTTATTTTGTACAAACAATTTGTGTACACGCAAGTTCACCAGTTTCTTTGCTCACCGTTCCTTCTTATATCGAGGAACATCCTTCTGGGTTTCATATGCCTTACTTTCGAAGCACATCATGTAGAAGTTCTGTTTAGTAAATGTGCTGGCAAACTCTGTCAGGTGTTTACTTATCTGAAGATGTCTTTATTTTACCCTTGATCTTTTTTTTTCTTTTTTTGAGGAAGATTATCCCTGAGCTAACTACTGCCAATCCTCCTCTTTTCACTGAGGAAGACTGGCCCTGAGCTAACATCTGTGCCCCTCTTCCTCGACTTTATACGTGGGACGCCTACCACAGCATGGCTTTTTGCCAAGTTGTGCCATGTCCACACCTGGGATCCGAACCAGGAAACCCTGGGCTGCCAAGAAGCGGAAAGTCTGAACTTAACAACTGCCCCACTGGACGGGCCCCTTACCCTTGTTCTTAAAGTACAGCTTTGGTGCATAACGAACTCTAGGTCTACAGTTGTTTCAAACATATTTTTCTGTGGTTTTCTGGCTTGCATTGTTATCAATCTAATTGCCCTTACTTTGCGTGTGATCTCACTTTTCTACTACTTTGAAGATCATCTTTGTTCTTTGCTATCTTTAAATTCTTTATATTGTGTTTCAGTATAGATCTGTTAAAGATACTGCTTGGTGTATGTTATATGACCTGTGTCTGTGGGTTTAAGTATTGCACCAGTTAAAGAAAATATACAGTTATCATTCCAAATGTTGCCAATTTGGCCTATCCTACATGTTTTTTCTCTTTATAGTTCTCTACTTATACATATTCTAGAGCTTTTCATTCTTCACTTCTTATCTTTTAACCTGTATTCTATCATGAATATTTCCTTGTCTCTCTACATGGCTTCTGGTTGATTTCTTCAGCTTTACCTTCCAGTTCACTAATTCTCTTTTCAGTTGTTCCTTGCTATTTAACACATTGACTAATTTATTTTAAATGTCAACATTATCTTTGTTCACATTTTAAATTTGTCGTATCACTTTTTTGCACTTTGTAGATTTTAGCTTTTGTGATTCCATTTTCTTTTGAATGTTTTATCCACATTTATTACATAGTCTGTGTTTGATTATGCTAATATCTGATGCACTTGGTGTTTCTCATTGATAAATCTTATGGTATCTTGGTTTTTGTGCATTTGATGATCTGTGATCGTGATGATATATTACAATGATCCTAATCTGTGTGATTTCTTGGGGACTTACACTAGGAACGCATGCTCCCTTCTTTGTGGACTCCAATGTAAGACTTATTTAGAGACAGATGGCTTTCTACAAAAGGGGCTTTTTCATGTGATTTCTCTTTTATTTCTGCCTTTTACTTCTCAGAACTATACTTGTGCAGAGAGTTACAGCTATCAAATGGTGCCTTCATTCTCAGGATTATAAACAAGAATATATGTTTGTAGAAAACATATGTAGAGGTTCAGTGAGCCTCTTATCTTTGAGAAGTGTAATCTCAAAATCTGTGGCCGTAGGGACCTGATTCTTTGACACTCTCCCTACATTTCCCCTAATTTCATCCTCATGCAATCTTGGTTGCTTTTTACAGTCTTTTCATCTGAGTTATGGGGATTTTAGTTGTTTCTCAGCTTCAAAATGGAGTTCCAAATTTCTTTCTCTATATTGATTTAGGAAATTTTCTAGAATAGAAGAAACGCTGAATTTTGGGTTACATCCTCTTATGTACTTCTTGATCTTAACTATTTTAATCTGTTTCACATTATGTATTGCTTATGAATTATTAATTACAGTTTTCTGTCTTATTTTTTTAATTTTTTAATTTAACTTTTTATTTAATGATTTCTTATTTTGTACTTTTCATTTTACTGCTTTACATAACTTGGAATGTATATTTAACCAAATTAAATTAATGTCTTAAATGATTAATCTTTTGTTTTCATTAGGACTTTTTTTCACTGTCTTTAAAGTTCACTCATTTTTTTGCTGATTTCCATCAGTGTTATTGCTAGATAACTAATAATGTAGTTCTGAGGGCCATCTGAGTATAAACATAAGTTAATAATTCTTTCCAGAGAAATCTGAATTCTTCTCCAGTACATAGAAAATTTGTGCTACTAGAACATTCTTTTACTTTGTGCCACCAATAAAAGGGCACACACGTCCAATCTTGAGACTTTCACAGAGCACCAATGAAGCATAAATGGTATCAGAATTGATTGTGGCTTTGCAGAGTCTTAACAAGTTTTACTTCCTTCAAAATTTATAGAAATGAGCCATGCAACATCTAAATATGGAATCAAATGAGTAGATAAAAATGTTCATGTGACTTCAACTTATCTCCACATAACTTGATTGGGGTTACTGTATTGAGGAGACAAAGTGGCATAAAGAGTATCACGTTGGTGTTTTGAGATTCAGAAAGATAATTTTATATGTCCTTGCTATGCATTGCAAAGTTGAGATTCAAAGCATTTTAATGGGAAAAGAGATTTAAGTTCCTGGTGCCAGGGATATGACTCAGGATCATAAATTAAATCCCCAAAGTCCAGAGTTTATAGGGTAAAATACAAGGTTACGCAAATGGTATTTAGTAAAGATGAGCATGAGGAAGACGTCTGGTTCTAAGAGTGCTCTGAGTCACAGTACTCTGATTAGAAAAGGAAGACTACAAAATACAGTAAATTGAAATGTAGATGATTCTGTGCAGTTTATTACTATTTTAGAAGTTATCTTTCAAATAGGAAATGTTTGTAATCAAGGGAATATCCCGTAATAGGGATAGAGATAAAGTCTGAGTGCAGTCTTGATATATGACCTGGAAGACATTTCCCTAATTTGCAGAGCCCAGAATACTCACATCAATTCTATTCATATTTCTATCTCTTCAATACTTTCTAGCATCTTGATGCCACATGGCGTTTCCCAATCTCTCTTTCTCTCTCTCTCTCTCCTTGTCCTACTTTCCTGGCTGGACTGTGAAATGATGACATTTTGCGAAGATGACTAATAGCCATTATAATAGATGAAGGGCATGTAGACCAGAGGTTGTTGTAACGTTTCCACAGCCTCATCCTGTATTACATTTCTCATTGTAGCACCTTTTCTGCAGCTACGGCAACCATACAAGGAATGGAACAGACCACACCAGGGGCTGGCCCTGGCATGTACCAGCCGGGACATCATGTTTCTCTAAACTCATATCTGTGGAAAGGGATGCCAGAGAAGTTCTTGAAGGGGGAACCCAAAGTTCTTGGGGTAAGTCAGTTGCAGATCTGGGAGAAGACAAATCGTGTTGTAGAATCACAATGGATCAGATCTAACACCAAATACTTTGCCCCACTAGTGTCATAATACATCAGCCAGCCCTAAGAACATCAGTATTTTGTCTTCAAGCCCTATCACTTGTGAAATGATACAGTATTCTATTACATCATGCTTCTGATTAAGTTGTATTTAAAACATAGTGACTTCAGATCTACTCTCGGGTTGTGGGTCATCCCTGATAACTATATTTAACTTCAGCGTGGAAGATTAGAGAAAGAAAGGGACACATGTACACCAGGTGGTGTCCCATCCAAAGACCTTCCTGATAGCTGACAGCCCCATATTGTTACTATCTCCTCTGCAAAATTTTCTTAGCCTTCTTCCACCCTCAGTGCATCTATGTCTGGAGTCACAGGTGGATGTGCCTAAAAGAAATGGAAGGTTTAAAGAAAGACAGGCTAGTGCAGGTGGGAGGACAGTGAACATAGAGGTTTATCTTTAGCCCAAGCTTTAAACCAATGGGACAAAGTCACGGTGACACTTTGGATCCTTTCGAGTGGCATGGGGAATGTACCCCAACTTCTCTATTTTATACCCCTGTACTCACTCATGTCCTCAGGCCCCAGACCCCTGGAGAATGGCATATTGCTCTTCTCTTTGTCTTCCGCTGTACATTCTTTCTTGCCTTAGATTTCTTCTCCTTGCTAGAATATTTGCTTCATAATTTCTGGGTCACTTCTATTTGAACATGTGTGAAGGAGAGCAACAGTTGTGGTAGGAGTAGCATCACAGGTAGGGATCAGTAAAGCACCTTTGGGTATGTCCTGATACAATCTTTTTTATCCTGAAATTACTGAGGCAATTGGGCTAAATGTCCTAAGAGGTCATTTTAGTAAGTTAACATATCCACAGTTCTTTATGTGAAAGAAAAGTGACAGAAGAATATCAAGAAGACCATCTGACTATTTCAAAAGATAGAGAATGAGGGTAACTTAGTGGTTGGAAAGGGGGTGGCTTGGGCACCATTTTTGTGGTAGGTAATGTGTTTTTACTTTCTTCACCATTTCTAGGTTGTGCAGATCCTGATTGCCCTGATGAACTTAAGCTTGGGAATAGTAATGATTACTGTCACGTTGGAATTTGCGTCAGCTCCTTACGAATGCCCCTTATCAGTGCACTCGGGGTACACAGTTTGGGGGTCGGTGATGGTAAGCAGAATACCCTCTGGTTTAGTTGGAGACAACATAGCATGGTTGTTAATTTCCTGAGCTTTAGAGTCATGTCTCAACCCTATCTTGTAGTTCTATAACTTTGAGAAGAATCTCTAACCTCTTTTTGATTCAATTTTCTCATATATAAAGTGGGAATAATAATATAAAATAATATAAAACTCAAAGAAAGCTAGGCAGGTTAAATATTTAATGTGTATCAGTTAGGCTGCATTACAGCACCATGTAGCAAAAAATTCAAACCAGAATGGATTAAACATTGAAAGCATTGATTATTTCACAACAAGAAGCCCAGTAGTTAGTCATTTCCAGCAGGTGATTAATTCCAGAGTTACCCCATTGAGGTAACCTCGTTGAGGACTGCTGGCACAACATATCATACTTGTTGGCACACGTCATTGTTCATAAATGTTATGTAGTGCATAAATGTTTTATATCCCCAAGCCAACTATGGGCAAAGATCATCAATTTGCCAATATTGCCTTGGACTAATCAAGAGTCGCCTCAATGGCTGGGAAGGGTTTATTGAAACTCAAGGGAGACTCAACAAAATGAGAATTTTTTTAGCAGTCACCAAAAGAGACATGGCTGGTATCCAGGCAATTTATAGTCAAGTATCAAATTGTAGCAAATGGTTAGCTTAGCAAATGCAACTGCTATTAGATATATTTTGTCTCATAAGTATAACAACAATAGTTATAATTTAAGTTAAATTAAAATTTGAGTTAACAAATTTCCCCCCAGAACAAAATGGAAGAGTTTCTCTGCAATGTGAGAGTGTAAATAGAGTATCCAGTGTCACATTTTACTTACCGACAAGAGGAAAATACATTCAGAAACTGGGTTTGTGTTAGAATTACGGAACCTATTCAAGTGTTGCAGTTTCCATTTATCTACAAAGTTCAGGATGAGATCATTTAAAGTCTATAAGGAGCTAACTTTTTGTGCCCCTTCATCAGTTTATAGAGAAAAATGCAAGCTTCGAAAAACAGAAAAGGCTGTTCTCCTTCTGGGCAGTTGTGCAATGCTTCATGTATCTGATCACACTGATGTCAGTAGTAGCTTTTATTAAACTCTTCCTATGGTCTAGGCACTCTGCTAAGTGCTTTACATGTGCAATTCCATTTCAAGCAATCATCCCAAACTTCTGAGAAAGGATTTGTCATTGTCCCCATTCTATGGATGAAGAAATTGGGACTTAGAGAGATTAAGTAACTCACACAATTATATGGTCTGGGAATCAGGGTTCAAATCAGGCCAGTCCGATTCCAGTATTCCACGCATCTAACCACTCTCGTTTTCTGCTTCCCCTTTCATTTCCTTTTCAACACCACTTTGGAAATCAGTTTTCATAATTTATACCTTTACACATGTTCGGTAGATTACCAGGAGCTGCACGAGCTGCGTTTGTCAACTGAGGCATCACTCAGACTCTTGTAGATGTCCCACTAGATGAGCCGTTGCTTAATTGTGGGAACATTTTTTCTATTTTCAGTTATTCTTCCAACTTTATGTCCACCTGTGAAGTGCCTTCTTTTTCTCCCTTATACAGTACAAGAACCAACACCAAGAACCAGCCACAAATTTCTCTTCTATTTGGCCCTTTAGTCTCCAGTAGAGCTATATTTCCTTTATCACAATGCTTTAAAATTATCCCCACATTAGTCTATTTGTTCCAGTTTTCTTTTGTGTACTTTTGGAACATTTTAAAGTTTCATTTCTATATGTCTTTCACATTCTACATAAAGTTCGTTTCTCTCAGAAATCTTATATATTTTTTGCTATGTAAATATGTAGGTTCTTTTACCAAATCCTATCATCAAACACACAAACACACACATATTTATAATATGTATATATAATTTCTGTATATAAAGATGTTCTCATGTGCTTTACTGAATTTTCTTGGAGTTTATAGTACTTTTTAGTTGATAATATTGGGTGTTTGCAGTATAATATTATTCATATTTAAATTACTCTAATGTTAACCATTTGCTTCAAATATTTTTCTCATATAATTATTTTGGTTAATATACTAAGAATAGTAGTACATAAGAGTCTCCATCTTCATCTTGATTTGGCTGTATGAGATGGCCCCAGCGTTTCCCATTAAACATAATAACGACTTTAAGACTGAGACAGATGTTCTATCATGTTATGGAAAATGCAATACTTCATATTTATAAATAATGTTTAAGTCAATAATAATTTTGAATACTATTAAGTGTCTTATCAATATTGTAAACATGAATAGCAATTAATGTTTTCTCCTTAAATCCATTAATCTCATAAGTTAGAATATTTCAATATTAAAAAATTTAGACTTTTGAAGAAATACTCCACATATTCAAGTTTCATTTCATATAATTTGATAGATGAGACTCCCTGCTACTTTTTTCCTAGGAGACTTAGTTTATGTTAATCATCTCTATGTCTTCATAATTAGATATTTGTTGAGGAAATTTATCAAAGTGGTTCCTTAGATCCGTGATTTTTGGTATTAAGATAGAATTTTTGAAACTTCTGAAATAAAATATTGAAAGCAAACCCAGAAACTCAAACAGTTAAATAGTTTAAGACAGGGCGTCCCATCAACTTGACTCCAGTCATTTTAGCTAGATGGAAAATAATACCCAATTGATGGAGTCAAATGAAATAATATATTCTAATCATCATTTAATATAGAATTTAAAATTTTTCTTTGCTACTATTTTATTTACAACTTTTAATAGTCATTTTTAAACGAAAATAATCATTAGGTTTTTTTCTTTTGCAATATCTTATTAAATTTTGGCACCATATTGTGGTTACTTCATATCTGAAATCGAGAAGCTTTCTTTATATTTCAGTACCCTCAGTTTAAATACCATCACACTTGGGCATTTTCTGAAAGGCTTGATAAACTCTCTTGTGAATTCATCCAGTGGAATTTCTCTCTTGTTTCTGGGAAAGGGGAACAGTTATTTACAAATTTTTGTGTTTCTTCCAATATAATTTGTCTGTTTAACATATTTATCACATTTTGGCATAAGTTTAGGTAAGTTACGACTTCAAATATTTATTTAAAGTTTTTTTTTTTTACCGTATTTTTCTTTTCATTAGTTTCTTATTTCAGGCTCCTTGTCAACTGCAGCAGGAACTAGAACTACAAGAGGTCTGGTGAGTAATGCTTCCTCATTTTTGCTCGAAAAGAAGAAGGATTAACCACATATGTATTCTGCCAGAAGAGAAAACAAATTTTGTTTGTTTTTAAAACATCAGGAGAGATTGTAAGTTTTACCTAGTTGGATCAGTCTCTCAAAATTGCAGTAAAATTTGGCTGCTGATGTGAAGTGCTGATATGAAGGCGAAGAATCGGGTGAGGGTGGCTTTGTCTATGGAGAATCCACCTCAGATTCACTCGACGAGGTTGGTGCCAATGTAGGGATGGCTGACGGAAGGTTGGGGGTGACTGTTGCTCCTCAGAAACATATTTGGACTCGAGGTAGGACATAACCTATGAATGCTGTAGCTATTACTGTAAAAAGTAGAGTGATTCCAATGTTTCAAGTTTCTAGAAAGGTGTAGGAGCCGTAGTAAAGGCCTCGTCCTACGTGAACAAAAGGGCAGATGAAGAATATGGAGAATTACTGACATGAGAATGAACAGTTTGGGAAGATACTTGCTGAGAGAATCTTTATGAAAATATAGGGAATTTCTGAGAATAAAGTCAATTGGATGGGTCATACAAACCCTCTAAATTGAGATGCAGCCCCCATGACAGTGACGCCAATTGTTGGTGTGGCATCATGTTTATTGACTTATTGATGAAAATATGTATTCCAACTCTGCTCACAAAGGATTTTGATTCAGTTTGCAATGAAAGAAATTCACAATAAGCCTGTTAGAAATGAAGAAGCAGATTTAAAACAAAGCTTTCATGCCAATATGCATCTCACAAAGTCAATAAAAGGCAAAAGCCCAGATCTCAATAAACGTTTTCCCTCGCTAAAGACTGTATTTAAGTTTTCTTCGCTCAAAGAATAAATATAAAACTATGGAGATGATCACTTATGGTTTTTCCACATCTGACCTCAATCTCTCTCTAGTATCTCTTCCAGATATAACCATACCGGTTAAAATCTACCTCATGTTACAGGCACGCTAAACCTCTCATACTTTCTTGAGGAATTTTGCTTCTTGTAAAAAGCCTCCATAACTTCACTGAGAGAAAACAATGTAGGAAAATGAATAGACAGCAAAGGGAGAGAATACACAAAAGGCATGTAGGCGTGAGAGGCAAGCAGTATTTAGAAAATAATTAGAAGTCAGGCACCTGAAACAGTACGTGGTAGGAGATGGATGCAGACAGGACTGTCCAGCTAAAGTTTAAAGGGTTTTGAAAGCCCTGCTAAGGAGATTGGAGTTGATCCCATGTGCTCACGGGAGACTTCTGAAGGATTTAAGTGTGGGAATAACAGGATCATATTTGTGTTTGGGCAGAAGATTAGAACTGAAAATACTGTAAAGAAAGAGACAAGTTAGGAGATTATTGTACTAATCAAGACAGAGAAGATGGCCTGGGTTGGGCAAGAAGTGGTGGGTGTAAAGTGATTGATAGAGACATATCTGAGGATGATGTTGGATGGTTTAATTGATTTTCCTTCCTTTCTAGGTCCAAGGTAGCCTAGGAGTGAACATCACCAGCTCTATCTTTGCTGCATCAGGGATCTTAATCACTATCATGAGCATGATTAATTCTTATTTCCATTACCCTTACTTTTACTATGATCGGAAGTTGGCGAATGGTTCCATAGTCCAATCTGTTTTAATGGTTAGTGCTTCCTCTTTTCGTGGCATACTTTGGTGGAAGTAAGTCACAGGATCCCGGGCTCTGGCAAAAGTAACCATCAGTGTTCCCTAGTTGATGAATCACTTTGGGAAGTTAGAAGTGATTGAGAATTAGGGCAATCTTTTATTTAGGAGTCAGGCCCATGTCTCATCTCTCTCTTTGTTCCTTCTCTAAATGTGATGAGGGAAAGTGGGAAGAAAGCTCATAGTTATAGAAAACTCACTCTGCAATAATTAGTGTGCTAAGCAATTTGCATAATTTTTCCTGTTCAATTTCAAAACACTGTTAAGTATGTCCTATTATCTATTCTAAAACTCGAGCCCAAGTGTCACTCTCTGTATGTCCCAAATCTTCCTGATAGAACCTGATGTAATTACCAGGTTCTCTAATTATAAATTAAAATTCTTTTGAACTTTATCCTATAAGTGGTGAATAACCCATTATCACTCCCACCATTTTTGGATGTCCTTGCAAGATGAAGCACTTTTTGCCTCAAAATCCAGTTCCTGGTAAATTCTCAATCTCTACTCTGTATTCTGTACCAGTTGCCCTCATCAAGACATTATTGTAATTCATTTTTCTTCAAATTACCACTTAAACAAGATTTTGTAGGTAGTGAAACTTCTAGGGGCCAGTCCAGTGGCGTAGGGGTTAAGTTCTCACTCTGCTTCTGTGGCTCAGGGTTTGCTGATTCAGATCCCAGGCGTGGATCTATGCACCACTGATCAAGCCATGCTGTGGCAGGTGTCCCACATATAAAATAGAGGAAGATGAGCACAGACGTTAGCTCAGGGCCAATCTTCCTCAGCAAAAAGAAGAGGATTGGTGGTAGATGTTAGCTCAGGCAAATCTTCGCAGAAAAAAGAATATTCACAAAAAATAAATAAAGTCTTTTAATAAAAAAAAAACTTTTAGAAGTTTTGCATAAGCGTGGGGAGGATCCCACACCACAGCAGACTAAAATGCAATGAAATCTTTATTATTAAAAAGTCATGGGACCAGCCCCATGGCCGAGTGGTAAAGTTTGCGTGCTCCACTGTGGCGGCCCAGGGTTTCGCTGGTTCAGATCCTGGTCTCGGACATGGCACCACTTGTCAGGCCACAGTGAGGTGGCATCCCATGTGCTACAAATAGAAGGACCCACAACTAAAATATACAACTATGTATTGGGGGGATTTGTAGAGAAAAAGCAGGAAAAAAAACCAGGGAAGACTGGCAACGGTTGTTAGCTCAGGTGGCAATCTTTGGGAAAGAAAAAAAATGTCTATCAACCATTCTCAATACTACTGAGTTTTCTGTTATCTCCCCTCCATTTGAGCTTCCAGTCCTTCACTGTACTGCTTAGTTCTTTCTCTTATTGTCTCCTTTCTTCATCTAAATTTGGAAACTCTGCATTCTTCCTAACTTCTTATGCAGGTCAATCACGTTACCTTTTCTTCATTCCTGGCTAGCCCTAGGTGAGTCTTGAGTGCTATATATTCACCCCAAAACAAACCCTTCAGTGTCTTTGCTATAATAATCTACTCTCCTTGAGATTTCTAGCAGTTCTTACAGTAAGCAATTTTATTTCTTACCGCTCTCTCAAAATCAGAAAAGAGTTTATTTGTAGAACTTAAAACTTTTTTTCAAGTTCACGCAGTTAGAAATTGGCAAAAGCAAGATTCGATGCTGTAACTTCCTGCCTCTCATCCTCCTATTCTTTAATAATTTTTGTTTAGGTATGCTGAAGAAGAATCTTACTTCCAGTGTCAGAAGTTCTCTCTGTTCATAGACTTTAAGGGCACAATGATAGGCATATAATCTACAATGGACCAGCTTATAGGGCTGGCTTCCCTGGTACACGACCTTTGCAGGTAGAAGAGCTCTACACTTGGTTTGCTGCTCTGCTCTTCCTGCTTTGAAGTTCTTAACACTTTTTTAACAAGAGGCCCTGTAAATGCTGTAGCCAGTCCTGCCTTCATCTCAATCACCTTCTCCCAGAGACCGCCGTAAATTCCTATTCTGTCTGCATTTTTTCTGCCTGCCCTATAGCAGAGTGCATCCATAAGAGTTTCCTGGAATCTGGAGCATCAGATCTATTCCTACCTGGGTATCTGCACAGTCAGTCCAGTGGTCTATGAGCCCACACATTATGCCCAGTCCCAGGGTTGGCACACTGGGAGGAATAAGAAGACCAGCCTCCACCTTTAGGAAGCTCCAGTCCTTCTGGGAGGAAAAGATAGAAATATTGGAGGGCAGTTAGAGGTTGACAAAGGCCCAAGGGCCTACTTTTGAATACAATTATAAAAAGAGGTTAGAAAGAGGTGAGCTCTTTCTAGGAAAGGTGGAGCGTACACATCATGGAATCATTAGCAGGAGCAGGTGAAATTGCCAATGATCAAGTCTACTTGATCTAGAATTACAGTGGTTTCATATGGCTCAAACTATGTATATTATACGTATTTTTTCTTCTTTTTGTTGGAAATCCAACCTTACACTTGTTTTCATAAATGAAGTTTTATTGCAGCACAGCCACACTCATTTGTTTACAAATTTGTCCATGGCTGCTTTTGCACTGTAACAGCAGAGTTGAGTGTTTGTAATCATATGTCCTGCAAAATCTAAAGTATTTGCTAGCTGCCCCCTGACAGAAAGTTTGTTAACTCCTGGTCTGCCCTGCTAGATGATAAAATCCTTGAAGTTAGGGAAATTGTCTGTTTTGTTTGCTGCTCTATCATCTGTACCTACAAGTCCTAAAATGTAGAGGCTACTGAGTATGTTGAAGAGATGTGTAAATAGATAAAGAAACAATGAATGCAAATATTCTCAAGGTTCACTTGAGTCAGTGTCACTTGTGTTCTGGGGTCTTGATTTTTGGTTCTTCCACAGCAGAGTTACTATCCCTATCCATGGAGAAAAAAGAGAGCATATTTAGACCAAAGAATCCTAGGCATCAATTCAAGCATCTAATTCTACTTTGTGGAATAAGAGTACTGCCCAATGTCTCTCAAATCTGACTATGTGTTTTGGATAAACATTAGACCTAAGCCAATTCCCTGGCGAGATGGATTAGGACCAACTAACTTGATGGTCATTCTTGCATTAGTTTCTTATCGTAGCTGTAACAAATTGCTACAAACTTAGTGACTTAAGACAACATAAATGTATTATTTTATAGTTCTGAAGGTCGAAAGTTTGGAGTGAGTCTCACTGGGCTAAAATAAAGAGTGGTCAGGGTTGTATTCCTCTTGGGACGCTGTAAGAGAGAATCAGTTTGTTTGCTTTTTCTGGCTTCTGGAGGCTGCCTACATTCCTGGGCCTGTCGTCCCATCCTCTATCTTCGAAGCAAGCAGTACAACATCTTCAAATCTCTCTTGGACTTCAACTCCTCTGCCTCCTGTTTCCACTTATAAGGGTTCTGTAATCATTTAGGGCTCACTGGACAATCCAGGATAACCCCTCCATCTCATGATCAGCTATTAATCTTAATTCTACCGACAAACTTAATTCTCCTTTGTCACGTAACTTGTCACATTCATAGGTTCTGGGGATTAGGGTGTTGACCTCTTTGGTCTGTTACTATTCTACCTGCTATTATTACTCTGCCCACAATTACTAAGTTATGAGATCATATTGTTGTGTCAACTATGTGGATTTCCTAGTGTTTCAAAGAACAAAGTTGATTATTATCTTGATGATCTCTTCCCCCCTCCTTTATAGCATTTTCACATTCTGTATCTGCAATAACACTAGAAAGTAGAGGGTGGGGGAGAACATGATTATTTCATTAGTGAAAAAGTGAGAGGATAATTGACATTCAACAGGATAAGAACTAGATAAGAGTATGGCTGCAATTTAGGAGCCAGTTTTCCTGACCTCTCGCCCATGCTTCTTCTCTTTTGATGTTGTAATCAGTGGTCAGTGTTCTGAACTTGTCAACTCTATTCCTCATGTTCCTTTGTTATGAATTTGTTCTTAGGGTATGGATGCTATGGTGCTCGTTTCAAGTGTGCTGGAGTTCTGCATTGCTGTGTCCCTCTCTGCCTTTGGATGTAAAGTAACCTGTTGTAATCCTGGTCGGGTGAGTATCAGGTTTACCTTGAAGATATCTGCATTAGTTTTCTATTGCTGTGTAATAAATTCCACAAACTTAAAGGCATAAAACAACCCACGTTTATTACCTTTGAGTTTCCATGGTCAAGAGTCTGGGCACAGCTTATCTGCATTCTCTGCTCAGAATTTAAAAGGCTCTAATCGAGGAGTTGGCTGGGGCTGTGGTCTCAACTGAAGCCTCTGGTCCCCTTCCACGCTCACATGGCAGAATTTATTTCCTCTCAGCTGTGGAATTCATCACAACTTAATTCTCCTTTGAGGCCCACAGGAGAGCAAAAGTCTTTGGTGATTTAAGCCTCTTTTAAAGGGCTCGAATAATTAAATCAAGTCCATCCAGAATAATTTCCTTTTGGATAAACTCAAAGTCAACTGGTTAGTAACCTATTCACAACTTTGCTATTCCATCATATACACAGGTCCCACCCAAACTGCAGGGGAGGGAATCATACATGGGCATAGGTGACTGGGTATCATCTTACAATTCTGCCTATCACAATGGATAAAGAAAAGCTATTTTTCTTCATCCTGAATCCTTCAAAGGGCCTCCCTTCTTAGTCCAGATCAAAGAATACTTCACTATGGAGAGGTCCCTGGAGAGTGCCAGATGTTACTCCATTATTCTTTTATTGCGTGATTCCCTGGGCTGCTGAAGAAAGTCAGGCTTTCACACTTGTCTGTGAGTGTGCACACCGGCCCATCCTCTCACCCTGAGACTTGCATCAGATCCTCCTGCCTGCTGAGCAGAAAGGATGTCTCCTGGAGATGACTGGGTAGTGGGAGGAGACAAGAGACCAAGAGGAACTAGGAAGACTAGAACAGGATATCTTCCAAGAACTGAGGGTTCCAGGGTGAGAAAATCGATATTAAAACCTGGGAGATGCTCATTAGTTTCATTACGCAAAGGCCTAGTCAAATAAAGGCCAAAACCAAATCATAAAATAAGAATAGTTTGACAAGATTACTTTTCTGGTGCTGTTCTCCCCCATTTGGTGCCTCTTTACTTTCTTTTGGGGGGCCCGTGCTACACCACATCCCCACTCCCACAGCCCTTGCCCATAGCAGAGAGATTGATTAAATCATGTTAACTCTAGTAGTGGACTCTTGAGTTATAAGACCCTAAAAGCTAGAGTTTCTCAGCAATTCCCAGTGATTTTGTAATTTCATTAAGTGAAACATTTGAACCAGGGAGCAAACTCCTTAGTAATATTCATATCATAATATCCAGGCCTGTGTTCTCTTCTGCTCCTAGATTAGTTACAGAGCTGAGTTTTTCTCTCCCTGATTCCACTGGTTACAGAACTGGGAAGCGTGAATCAAGAAAAGCAATGGCTTTGGGCCATATAATGCCTAAGTCTTTATCTCTTCCTGGATCTCCTCCAACATCCACTCCATTTCACATTGAATCTTTAGAAGAATGACCAGCATTTCCTTAGTTTCCTAATGATTTCTGCCTTGTTGGATCACTGTGGTTTTTGCAATGCTTTAGTCATGGCCAGCAAATCAATGATTTGGGTATGCTGTTGCCATCAGTATGAACAACCAGTTTTGGCACAAGAGTCTATATTTTCCATGACACCCTGGTTTACCTAACTTGTTGGGCACCATCATCCACATGGAAGATCAATCCACTTGCAGGACCACAGCCCCAGCTATCAGCATCTCATGCCAAGAGCTATGGCTGAGTGTATTTCGTAGATCTAGTCTGCTCTAAAGAATGCCTGAGAAACCCCACCAAACTGATGTTGAGACTGAATTCAGGGAAGAAAGGGTAGACTCTGATGATGGTGACATTGTGTGGACAGGAAAGGGAAACCCTGAGGTTATTTGATTGACTCACCTATGGCATTCTGATTGATTTCACAGGTTGTGTTCCTGGTGCCATCAAATCCTCACATGGAAGAAACAGCAACTCCTGTACCAGTTGCAAGAGATATAAGGCCACCTGCAGATCAACAGCAAAAGGTTTCAGAAAACTTTCTTGACAGTTGTGCAAGAACCCCACTTGGAAAAGTACCAGACTCAAACTGATTTTAATATATATGTATATTTAGTTCATAACTATGTTCTCATTTTCCCCCAAGTACTCAACAACTCATTTCACTGGTTCTTTATCCACAATAGCAAAAAGTAAATAAATACATCATGCATATTATGAGTAAATAGCCCTCGAAAGTTTTTCATCGGTCTTTGGGACTTTATAAAAGGACATGAAGGTGGTAAAGAAGATTTGGTAGAAGAAGGGCAAAAAACTATTGTTGAAGTGAGGCCTCCATGCAGACTACATATTTCTGCTTCCCTGGCCAATACTCCTCCCACTTGTTTGACTTTCTTTTCCCGCCTTTGGGAACGCAGTGTTTTTACCTTTAGAAAGTTGAGATGTGTGGCTTTTCCCTCTCTTTCTTTTTCCTGCTTTCCTTCTCCCTTCAAATAGCACAGTCGGTCCTCTTATGTGCACAAACCATTATTTGAATGTAAATACAACAGAGTCAAAATCACATAATGGTCAGATTCAACTTATATTTTCTCTGTCTCTCTCTCTTCACCTTCCTCTTCTTCCCGTTCTCTCTCAATCTCTCTCCTACAGGGCAGCGTTATACCTTAATCAAATTTGTATCCAGTGCCATATAGGTGATTGAGCAACACATGGGACTTAGTTAATGTCTGTTAAATACTTTGATTTATTACAGATCAACAATAAATTAAATAAAATTAGAAAGAATAACTTAATGTATTTCCTGCTTCCTATTCAGATGTGATATGGTGGAAAGAGACAAAGTCTTGATATCAGGAAATACAGTACGGTGGTGAAGAATGTGGGCTTTTTAATCAGATAACCCTGAGTTTTTGTCTCAAAAATTCCATTTCTTTCACTTGCTACCTGTGTGGCCATGGTCATAGCATAACATTTCTCTGTACTTCATATTTCTCTTCAGTAAAATAGTGATATCACCAGACTGCTAGTCCTGTGATGGTTACTTGATACAATATAGGAAGAGCAAATACTGCTCTGATTGGCACATACTGAACCTTAAGAGGTTTAATTTATACACATACATGAATATATGTACATGTATATGTATTTGTATATATGTAATACCAATTCATTATCATTTTATTCAACACATATTTATAAGGTGCCATTGATGGGCAAGTATTTTTTAAGGATATGAGAATATAGTGATAAACAAGAGAGATGACATCCTTCCTTTTATGTAGGTTAAACGTATAGGGCAAGACATAATCAAACATAAAAACAATCAATTAACATTTTCATTTGTTGTTAGAAGCTACATGGAAGCTATGTGCAAGGTACTGGGCTACACAATGGCCTGTGGTAGTGGTGGGGGTGTGGGACATTAGAAAATGTAACCAGGAAAGTTGTTGCTGAGGAAGTGTTAGTTTCATTATGATAGGGGGAAAAACAATCGTTGCATTTTTCTAGACATTTTCTTCTTTTTCAAAATTTCAATTTTTTCAAGCTTTATTGAAGTATAATACACCAATAAAAGTTGTGTGTATTTATGGTGTACAAAATGATGTTTGGATGTATGCATACATTGTGAAATGATCACTGCATATCCCCTACCTCACACAGTTAGCTTTCATTTGTTTTGGTGAGAATACTTAAGATAAAGTCTTTCAGCAAATTTCAAGTATACAATATAGTATTATTAACTATAGTCACCATGCTGCACATTACATTTCAAGAACTTATTTATCCTACTCAAGTGAAATTTCATACCCTTTGACCAACATCTCCCCATTTCCCTCACCCCTCAGCCCCTGGCAACCACCATTCTACTCTCTGCTTGCGTGAGTTTTACTTTTTTAGATTCCATACATTAGTAAGATCATACAGTATTTGTCTTTCTGTGTCTGGCTTATTTCACCTAGCATAATTTCCTCTCGTATCAACCATGTTGTTCTGAATGGCAGGATTTCCTTCTTTTTTAAGGCTGAAAATATTTATGCATTTATGTGTACATGTGTCACATTTTCTTCACCCATTTATCCAGCAATGGACACTTAGGTTGTTCCTACATCTTGGCTATTGTGAAAAATGATACAATGAATATGGAAATGCAGCTATCTCTTCTAAATAGTGATTTCATTTCCCTGGAATATATACCCAGATTGCTGGATCAGATGGTAGTTCTATTTTTAATTTTTTGAGGAACCTACATACTCTTTTCCATTATGGCTGTACCAATTTACATTCCCAATAATAGTGTGCAAATCTTCTCCTTTCTCCATATCCTGGCCAACACTTGTTGTCTCTTATCCTTTGGATAACAGCCATTCTAACAGGTATGAAGTGATATGTTGATGTGGTTTATTTGCATGTCTCCGATGATTAGTGATGTTGAGCAACTTTTCACACACCTGTTGGCCATTGTTATGTCTTCTTTGGAGAAATGTCTATTCAGGTCCTTTGCCCATTTTCCAGTCTTCACTTACAATTTTTCCCTCCAGTACTTCCTTTATATTTTACAGCTCTTGGTACACATAATTTATTCCCAATTTTTCTGATAATCATAGTCTGAATTTCCTCTAAGAAACCTCCATTCCTATTCTCCCAATTTATTCTGACTTTACCCCCAACTTCTCCTACATCTGGGCAATAGCAGAATTACATCAACTCAACTAGAGTGACTGGTTCTTGTGTCACTTAGCCTTGTGAACAACTGTATGAATGACCGACATTTCCAATCAAAGCTCATCCTGGCATTTTTGCTTCACTGACCAGGAAAGAGAGTCTGCCTCTTTTCTCTTTCCTCTTGGGCTTGTGAGGATGCTGAGCTGCGAGAATGTAAATCTGCTGCTATTAGCAGCCTTCATGCTACTATATGAATCCTATCAGAGACAAATGCTTACAGAGGAGAGCAGAATTGAGAGGTTCCGAGGACAACATCAATTTCCAAGAACGTCAGTTGAGTTTCTGAGTCAAGGTGTACCTGGAGTTGGGCGAACACTTGGAGTTGGGTCAATCCCTGAAATTTTAAATATATGAAGAAATTAAAATAGAACTATTTAAGTAGTGCAATAACTGGGCAAAATCCTCCAAAAATTTCCTCTTTAATTCAGAATAAAAGCCAAAACTCCTACTAAGCTCTATGTGACTCTACATCACTTGATTCTTTTCTATCTCTTGGATTTTGTGAAACACCCTACACTCAGATTTGCTGAGCTGTTGTTTTGGGTTCATTTTAAATGGCCTAGAATGCCTTCCTTTGGTGAAAATTTTTGCATACATTAAACTTTTTGTGTTCACATCTATATACGCAATTTAAGAACAGTGCATTTTTAGTTGTAAAAAGTTTATGTGACCATCCAGGCTGTTAGAGCAAGATGCTATGATTCTAACTTTTAAAGAAGACTGCCTGTATTTCACATCACGTCCTTTTAAACTTCTCAGGAATAAATTGGTCTGTTTTTACTGATTGATTTTTCTCCTAGTTGTAATTTTTCTGCTGCTTGGCATGTATGATGATTTTTGACAGGATGCTGGATATTATCATTTTCACATGGTTGAGTGCTAAAATTTTCCTTTTTCAAAGAGTATTGCACTTTATTTCTGGCAAGCGGTTAAACTTGAAGTCCAATATGATTCTTTTGAGACTTTTTAAAGGCTTTATAGGGAGGGTTTAGAGTTGTTATTACTCTGGGCTCATGTAGATTTGTTATTATGGCATAACTTTCCTGGAGGTCTTTAATCTATACCCAGGATATTCACGGAAGTCTCTGCATTCCAACTGTTTGGAACCTGAATGTCTCCCAGCTTTGTGTGAGTTCTAGTAATCATTTAGCTTCCAATTACTTGACTATCTGGTTATTCTTTCATTGGTATTTTGGAATTTCAGCCTGTAAATGTATAACTCACTATTTGACAACAAATTTAAGGGGACTCTCTTACAGATTTCAGTATCTCTGTCTCTGTATGGCTATTTCCTTCGTGGTTCTCTACCCACTAGCTGCCTGAGCTCCCTGAAACTCTGATTTCTATCTTCTCAATACAGTCAGATCAGCCAGAATCCATCTCCTTGATCGTGGTCTGGAAAGTTCCTTCATGCAGAAAACCAGAGCAATTCTTATATTCATATTTGTGCCCATTTTCTCAATGTTGAAAGCCCAGCATTGACTACAGTCCAATGTCTGAAAAGAGCTGTTAAAAATTTTTCCCAGTTTTCTAATTATACAGAGTGGGTTCCATTAGGATTGGAACAACTGAGCTTTCATTTTAAAAAAATGCGTGTAAACATAGACGTTTGCATTTTTATTTCATTTTCTAATATTTAAAATTAATTTAAGAATGTCAAAATATGTAATATAAGTAAATTAATACTTACTTGATAATTCAGAATCTTCAACCATCCAGTTCAAGTGTAATAATTTTCATATGCTGATTTTCTTAAAGCTGCTTTGTTTAGGTTCCTTAAGAAGCAATTCATAAAAGATACTTGCACATTTCAGTTGTTATTTTATATTTAAATTAAATTCTGATATTTTCCAATGTCTTTGTGTAGTAATATCTGGACAGTTTTAATCCATGCTCCGAGGTTTTTGCTTTCACACAACACAAATACTCATAACACAATGAGAAAAAGCTATGCAAATTTCAAGGCAAGTATTTAAATTTTAGAATTAATTAAAATATGTCCTTTGATTTGATGTTTTAATTTAATGTACAATAAATGCAGAAAAGATATATAAAGTCACTTGCTTTTGATTGCTGAGTGGATAGGGAAAAAGAAATAACCAACTTCTAAACTTGAGATATGGTTTCAACAAAGCTGACGTGCATTTGCCTTCCTTTTTGAACCTCTTAAGGTCAGCAATTTATTTTTTAATGACTGAGATTTGTTGGGGTTACTTCTACTCATGTGATCCCCAGGACTTAACTAATTTTGATCAATTGTGTAAGGTAGATGATATTAGACTTTTTTTTAAAGATTTTATTTTTCCTTTTTCTCTCCAAAGCCCCCCGGTACATACTTGTGTATTTTTTAGTTGTGGGTCCTTCTACTTGTGGTATGTGGCATGCTGCCTCAGCATGGCCTGATGAGCAGTGCCATGTCCCTGCCCAGGATCCGAACCGCCGAAACCCTGGGCCTCCAAAGCAGAGTGCGCGAACTTAACCACTCGGCCACGGGGCCGGCCACTTCGACATTTTTAATTTTCATGTCCAATAAGTATATACATTCAGGCAGAGGAATAAGTTCTCAGAGTCCCTTGCAGTTATGCCCTGGCTGTTTTTATTGTCAGTCTAAGCAAAGTATGGTTTTTTTGCCCCCGGTGAAAAGGTCAAGACAGTTTATTCTAATCTTTCTCAGATACCAAATGCAGCTTCACCAAAATCACTCTTTAACTTGCTCCTACCTCTTGAACGAACTCCCTCAGCTTGGCCAAGTGAGGCTGACCATCAAAAGGAGTAATGTCACAATCTGACTGGGGGGTCAGGCACCTCACTGGGCTTGTAGCCCAGCAATCATCTAGGTGGTTCCTTTCTCCTGCTACCAGCAACAGAGTGCCTTGACCTATATTGATTACCTTTCAAAATTTATTTTTTCCTTGAATTGTTTTTTCTACTTAGTGTTCCTTCTCCCCTAAATTTGATTAAATATAATGGAGAGTAGTGAAAATTTTCACATTTTCCTCCAGTTCTGAAGCCACTGAAGTTGTGTCCACACCAAGGTCCCCAAATGGGAACTATGAATGAGCTCTTGATG